AAAGTGTCTAACAAGTAACATGTAATGTAATGAATGTATACGGAGAACAAGTAAATTTACATTGTGTGGCAATCTTACATCAGTCAGAGCTATGGGGAGTTGCATCATTAATGTTTAGAGTCTTATATGCATGAAAAGAAGTATGTAACTGTCTGTTATGTGCAGTCATGTCCTTGCTATGGTATGATTTTGGATTTTTGTTATTGTACAGTAAAGATGTTTGTCCGATGCATGACGGAGTGCATTCATTTCACAATCAAGGCCGGTTTACAAGATGTGGGATTTAGGGTGGTGGGTTTCTATGTTTATTTTGTACAGGGAAAATGAATAGGAATTAAATGATGTGCTTTAAATATAGTAGTAATTTGTTTTGCCAATAACATAATTTGCAATGTCCATTGGAGCACCTGCTTTCGAAATAGTCAAATGTGTTTGTTTAGACAAAATCTAAGGATATATTTTATACTTTTCCTCTGGGAACCTTTAGCCCCGTTTTGTCATGCATTTTTAATAGATGTCTTATGAGCATTTTCAGCTACAGCTGTTGCCATCTTCATTGTGTGCTTCTACCCTGGTTAGGGTGTCATCCTCTTCTCTCATTACATTTTAGGTGAGTGGAAAGGCTATGTTTAGTTGTTCACACACACACACTGTTGCTCTCCCCAGTATAACGGGCTGTTTGAACAGTAGCTTTCTCTCTTGCTATTGTTTGTGTTCACCTACTGTAGCATTACCTACGCTACATGTGCTCTCCATACAGAGTCTGGACTCGTTCACTAAACTACTGTTCATTGTCTGGGCTTAGCTTGACAGGAGAAGCTAAATCGCCACACAGTGATATTTCTTTAGCTTACGTCTAGAGGAAGATTTAGATGGCTGGCTGTACTCATTTATCCTGGCATTACTCATTCCTTCCAATAGCAACACAAAATATAGCAGATTGAAACTAATATTTATGCTATATCCACATCCACAGCACTTGAATAATGTAACAATAATGTAGGCTGACCTTTTCATAGATGTAGACGTGCTAACCTGCATGTTTTCTTATTTTGTCCCACCCTCTCGTTACTAATTTTAGTGGATTGTAGATACAGTTAAACCAAAAAATCAGTTTCTTTAATGAACTGGGAACGTTATATAACATCATTGTCAAATACAGATTACTGAATGCTAAATTGGACAGTGCAAGTAGCAGCAATAAGGCTGGCAACGTTTTTTTCTAGCATGCAAAGTGTTACTGTTCTCTGGTAAACATGCAGTTAGCTGTTAGCTGCTATTGGGTAGCTCATTCCTTGTCGTTTTGAAAGCCTTAGAAGCAGTCCCTGAATCAAAGATGTCCTCGGAATTCTTTATAGAGAACCTTTAACCGAGATCAGAGTCCTCCCTAAGCTTAACCGAACGCTGTGAGTGCCTAACATAACCATAAAAAACGTTTTATCATGCATAGTTGCTAATGCGTATATTGTATTGCAAGAGTGGGGATTGCACTGTAGGGAATTACAATGCAATTCCTTGCCAGTGAACATTTTAGTGATATTCTCACTATCACCATTTGGCGACTTTGCAGATACATTCATTAACATAATGTTCTCATTATGTTGTTAGAAAACCTAATTCTGGTAAGATCACGTTCCTTGATAAACCTTTTTGCTGTTTCTTGATTAGGTGTGTATAAATGTAAGTTCCAGGAGCCAGGATTGCAATCAAGGATGTTCTAGGGTGTGCTTAGTTATTATTTTATTTCAAAAGAACAATCAACCTAATAACAATATAACCAAATGATTGGCTTACATTCTCTATGAATGTCTATCTGCTTGTAATTCCATACATCTTGTAGGAATTTCTTCATGGTTACAGCAGTAACTTTAAGTCCAATTTAATCACAACTGACAGACACAATGGCCAAATTAGGACAATCCAAGTTGTACTGGAAACTGGAAATATCCTTTGAAAAATATGGATAATGTTAAAGAATATTGATGAGGGAACAAGACGTAATTGACCCAGCACGTCTGCGCAAATTCTGCAAGCTGTTGCATTACAGTCGTGTGTGAAAGATGAGCCGCAGCCGAGGGAGATCTCGTAAATTGTATTGATATCTCGACAGGCTCGTCCCTGTGTTCATCATGTACGGTGAAAAGGCTCCAGAACACAGACATCAAAGAGATAATAGTAATCCAGTGACTCGCCAATGAGGAGAGTTGTATTTTCTGTGACAGGGCCAGTTTATTGCAGTGGCAAACTGTCCTAACTACTCCTCCCACTGTGATTTTAAAATGCCTCTCTCTCATCTAGACGATGAAGGAGGTACAAAATAAGTGTTTTGCCATCTGCAATAAAAGAAAGTTTCTCCCTTTTTAATGGCATGGATAGAGCCGGGCGGGAGTGCACCTTGCTGTTCATCTCCTGCATGCGAGTGTGAGCTGTCTGGGTGATGGCCATTATGGTTCCTGCTGCTGCCTATGCGTCTGCTCCGCCGGGATCACTGAAGTGTTGGAACTAACAAGCTTGGGATGCAGACAGCGGATGCACAAATGGGATTTTGTCCTGAAAGCTTTAGAGTTTGCTCCCTGTCTTCAGTAGAAACAGGAGAGCGGATGGGGCCGTTTGCAGGGACTGTCTGAATTATGCGCCACCAGAATGAGATGATTACATCTGATAATCTTGCTAATGATCTACACTGGGGAGGAGAGCACATCAAATTGAATGAGCAACACCGATGTACACAGCGTTCAGTCTCACCCTCTCATCTCTCTTATTCTCTTATTCTCTTTCACACTCTTCAAATTTATGCAGAATGTGAGATTTTCTCCACCCAGGAAGATATGCAATATTCCTTGTCATAGTTTAAGTACACACAGCTTGTGGGGTATAGACACCCAAACTAAGACATTCAAAATCTCCCCCCCAGATATTTCTACGCAAATAAACACGCATATCTTATCTCCCACAAATACACACACACACACACACACACACACACACACACACACACACACACACACACACACACACACACACACACACACACACACACACACACACACACACACACACACACACTCCTAAATACACTGAAATCCCCACAATGGTCTTTCAGGCCAAGGTTAGTACAGATTAAAGACGTGTCATTGATGGAAGAGGCTCCTCCTTCCTCCCCAGACTGTCTCAGTGTGTTTGGGAACAACCCACTTCATTTTACCACCAGCATAATGGGTAAACAGAGTGTGATCAGTCCAATTACCCCCTCATTGCAGAGGCGTTCTGGCGGGGATGGCCGGTAGAGAGAGTGAGCTGTCTGATGTGCGGCGTAGTTGCAACAGTAGCACCTGCTGCCCGCAGCCCTCACTTGTATGAATCTCAATTTGTTTGTACAGCCTTGCCAAAAAACAGCTACCAAGACGTTAGCCCTCTGAGGAGGATGGCAGCTGGCTAGCCTTCTGATTGCTGTTTTCACTGCACTGTCTGAGGATGTGTGCAAGATCAGAAGGTGCTGCTCTCAGCAATGAACTCATGTCAATGTCAGTCCTTCCAGTGGGTTCTTTTGTGCTTAGTTCCTCACTGTGCAGCTTTCAAGGACGGGGGACATTTCTTATCCCCCACACTACAGCAGGTTTTACAGCTCAGTGGATGCATGATTTTGCTGCCAAGAGTTCATCCACAGTAGGCCTACTGTAAAGAAGCTGCAGTCCTAAATATACATTCTGAAAATGTAATTATACCAGGTTTCAGATATTGTGTTCACTGTACACACTCATTTGAAGAGGAGCAGAGCAGGGCAATAGACCCCTCTTCACTTTTACGATTTCTCTCACGACGTACAGTCAGGACTACTTGACATGTTCATGCAAGTGTGGAAGTATATTAACCTTGACCAAAAGGAGAAATTGCTTTCACTTTACCTTAAAATTTATAAAAAGTCTGCCCTCCTGTTACAAGGACATATCATACATATTTTGTCCTGTTCCGTTGATTGAAAGATGTGTTTGTTGTTCTTAAAGAATATGGAAATCCTTCTGTTGATAGATCTCCCTCGGGCAGCTGTCTGGAATCTGAAGCCAACATATCTAACGTGTGTTTTAGCTCTATTTTACCAAGCATTAAGATACATTTTGTGAGTAAAAAAAGGTTATTTTCTTAAATCACAAAGACTAATTTCTGGAACAACTGACAGAGAGCTCTGTCAGCAGGAAATAGAAATGGCCTTTCAGGATTCATTTGGCTCCACTAATTGAAACTAATACCTTTCAAATAGCATATTGATTCAGAGAAAGTACATTTTTTCCAATGTGCACCAACAGTAAAACAGAGTTGTAAAAGGATTATTGGCTGTGTGGCACCACAAGTCATGGAGATGACAGCAAACATGTGATGACTTCAAAGCACCTCTTCGTTTCCTGGGCTGTTGTGCAGAATAGGGCCTGGGGTGCGTTGTATTAGTGCCCTAATTAAAAAAAAAGTCTTCGAGTGTCAGGAGAAATACTCGCACAGTAGAAAAACCCTGCACATCAAACGATATCAGTAGCACGTTTGGATCATATAAGGAAGTCAAACTGAATTTCCCCGAAAGTTATACTCACATGAGCATGCACACAGTTGACAGGTGAATCTGGAGTTGATTTATGCAAGTAAATGATGTAGTTTATTTCTTTTCAGAGGCAGAAATGTTGCCACAGCGTGAACACTACACTGCTCTGCAAACTACAAATTAGCCATCTTTTGCTGTCAACCAGTCGCGGTAAATCTTGTTGTATTTTGGATAACTTTTCCAAAAATAATAGCCTCTAAGAAGTTGCTGAATAAAAACTCTACCGAAAAAAAGGGAAACAATATCGTGGCGTTTCATTAAATGATTTCAGCATTTTAAAATCATCTTCCCCCAAACATCCTCATGAACAATAAGCTGAAATCGTTCCTGCAGTCACTCTCCGTCGGCGCGTTTGCCTGATGCGCAGCGCCTCCCCAACTGGTCCCTCACTTTGACAAATTCCTGGACGTGAGCGGGTCTGCTGGATGGCTTCTTGCTCGTAAAAATGATACCCTGAATGTTGTCGAAGTTGCCACATCTTTTTTCTCTCCTCTGTTAGAGTGTTTCAGTTTGGAAGAACACAATGGGACTGTGGTCATTTTGGAGTGTTTCCCTTTTTGCCTGCGTATTTCTGAACCCCTTTCACTCTAAGTTTGTGGCTCAAGCTGAAATAAGTTCTCTGAAAACAAACGACAGATTTTATCGCCTGGAGGTTAATCAGCTGGAGGCACTTGTAACCCGAGAATCAAAGGAGGTCAAAGTCGACAGTAGTACTAAAGTTTTGAGCGCTTTTCAATCGAGAGAAGTCGTTGCTTTGAAAGCGAACGATGGCAAGCAAGTGGAGAAAGAAACACAAAGCGGACTTGAAAACGAGGCACTGATCGCCAACAAAACGGCACTAAACTGTCTGACCATTCCCACAATACCTGGAAAAAAGTGTACTAACATTTCCGAAGACAACCAAGGACGACCCACAGCGAATATAGTGATAGAAAACTCATTTCCCGACACGAGAAAAAGAGTAAAAAGGGGTTTAAGTACAAACGCCGAAAATCTGGATAGGAGTATTCATGGAGAAGCGCAGTCCACAGAGAGGTTTGTGGAGACTGTCCAGGGTGTTTCCAGCTCCCGACCCGAGTACCGGCGCACTGGGGACGAAGGCAAAGGGTCTAACCCGAGGCAAAGTGAGCCGCACCTGGACACGTCCACTTTTGCTCTATCGGGGGACTCTGCGCACAACCAGGCGATGGTGCACTGGTCCGGACACAACAGCAGCGTGAGTTTCAGTTTTACAAAAACAATTTATACCATGAAAGATTTAAGAAAACAAGTAATTTCCTCACACACTGTATACAACGCTATTTTATCTCTCCTAAATACAGATTTAAAACATAAAACAGATGTACATGAAACTCCCATTTTTACACACAGCTTTTCCTGCGCGTACAGTATGATGGGGATTCCCACACTAGTTATTTCAGTCCTAGTTTTGAATTCAGCAATGCATTCTCTCTTTTCACCTTGTGTATTTGTTGTAATTGCATAGAGGTTTGTAAGCGGATTGTCCGCCTGTTTGTGTGGACGCCTGATGGATATGACTGTGCACTTGCAGGATTCCCTCCACTTGCTTTATTTCAACATTTGTCGCCTGAACTTTGAATTAACAGTTTACCCCGCAGGTGCATTTATATGACACTGAACTGGGAAGGTGCAGGCATTTAGTCAGCAATCATAGCGCATTAATTATTTATGAAATAATCAAGTGATGTCTCTCAGGAAGGTGCTGTAGCTACAATTAATAGGGATTGTGTCCACCCTTTGACGCTGATGAGACACAGCCTGACCTTTTGCCAAATGCACCAGGCTTTTGTCATTGACATTTGACTCACACTTTGTTGTTAGTTGTTTAATTGCCTGGATTAAGGTTTGTTTTTGAAATGCTGCCAACCTTTGCACTTCCAAATGTGTTGATAGGAATGTGCAGAACTTTAATGGATGACAAGACATTGCAGCAACCACCCAGATAACCTCTCCGCCCCTCCCTCTTACACAGACACACATACACGCCATTGTACCATCACAGAGACAAAGCCATGGCGATGTTATCTCCTACTTTACATATAAAGCATGACAAAGTGTTGGTAGCTCCAGCATTTATCAGGTACACAGATCTTACAACTACTAACAGCCTTGTACAAAAGAAAGGAGCTGCTCTGCCTTTTTACTGCAGGTAATTCAGATCACCTCAGTTCTGGGCAAAAGGGTGTGTGGCAGCAAAATGAATCTGGGAACACATCAGAAGGTTTTTGTGTCCCAGAAACACTGTGAATATTCATACATTATCCAAAAATACAGATATCTATAATTCACCCTCCATTTTCTTATCTGGTACATTTTCTGTTTGGTAACCTATACACATGTCATAACGTTTGTCAGACATTGGCTATGTTGATGTATTGCTGTGGACAGTCTCTATGGAAATACACCAGAAATGCAGATAATCAATTCTATATTGTGAAATATGTTGTTCGTTTGAGACGTCTTCACCAATGATGGCCTTTAGCTCTGCAGGACCCTGTTCACTGGATCATCACTGATGGGCTTGTCACTGCAGCCAGTCAACATCAGAGATTTATACAGTCTGAGCCCCTCTCCCAAAAGAATGAGGAGAACTGCCAGGTTTAAATTGATGGCATTTTACGACTGGATGTTAGAGCTCAGACTATACTAGATTTAAATGACTGATAATAAATCCAATCTAAGAGGACCATTTGAAGGAAAATTACTTAGTTCCTGTGGTGTGGGGTGGCTCTATCAAATATTCACTTCAAGACGTTGCCTGAGATCTGTCCAGGATGTAAAATCCCATTGGGGGTTAAATGAGAAAAATGTAGAAGGTGATGGTGAACGTGCCAGGGGGG